TATGTTCTCCCCTTAAGGAGGATTACATAACAGAAACTTTAATTATTAAAATTAATGGCAATATTTGAATTGAAATACTAAAGAGGTCTCTGCTAACTTTTATACCACAGCTATAAATTTAATTAACTTCTCAGAGTCTTGAATGATACATAGACTAAAGGATTTTGTTTCCTTCTCCATGTTTGTCTTTGTTTACATGCATTTGATTATATCTTCCATGCACTTTTGGGATAAAGAAAGTCTGCTACAGATTTAAACAGATTTTTGCAAGGGTCCAGTGGAGGAAGAACCATATAAATTCCACTAATAATAGGACCTATGACAAAACTCACTAGTGGTAACAATATAGGTATATCCACTTCTTACACAGTCAGTTTATATTATTACAAACGTATCTGAGTGTCATTCAGCAGAATGATGTCCACCAGAGTATTCTAACATGTAGACGTTTTTGAGGTTGTGCATCACTAATAGGCTCCTTTAAGGGTTTAGATACACTGCTCATCTTAGTGCTCCACCCACTTTTTTGCTAGTTGCACCATTTATTTCTCTGAGCCTACAAACACCAATTGCTTCTAAAGACTGATTTTTTATTTTGGGGCACTATGGCACAACATAACAGAGTCCAGCTTTCAGCTGGCTTTAGGCAGTGTTTCTACGACCGTATGGCACAGTATAGCACTGGGTAGAGATATCAGCTCAGATCCCAAACACAATGTTGCAGTGTCAGTGCCTTAGAGAAAGGCAAATACTCTTAGCTGTAACTTCATATCAATGTAGTGACATTATTTCCTACTATAAATTTACTTTGGCTGTTGCTAACAGAGGGATCTCTGCAACATGCACCACTGCACAATGTAAATATGTCCTCAAGTATGTTTGTGTACATCAATTTTTTAGTCTACAATGCCAAGTGCAAGTATTAGTATGCACAGTTATGGTGTCTGTGTTTACATGCTATAAAGAGGCTTAAGTGTTTATCCCCTTTATACACAGAGATATCCTGGACGTGTTCAGATAACATGGAAACCTTACCCTGGCCCCTATGTTCATACTCCTCATGGTACAGGATGCACATAATTTTTTTTCTGCAGAACTTTCTCTTACTCAGAGCATTGCAGGGATCTTTTTGGTAAAATTGTCTTTAAGATTTCCTGCTTTGTTTGTTTATTTGTTTGTTTGTTGCAGAACTTAAATTTGAAGTGACTGAATGAGGGAAACACTGAAAAGAGCAAGAGCAGTATCATCAAGCTGCTTGAGTGCCACAAAGTTCATTTGTGGTGCCCATTAAAAGATTTATATCAAATTATTATCGTGGTTTTTAACTGTGTATTCTTCATTTTCTGGACAATCAGCTTGAAACACTGAGGCTGAATGTGCAGATGTGCTGAGCGTTCAGCTACTGCTGAAACCAATGGGAGCTGTACTCTGAATATATAGCATTGTATGTAATGCCAAATACTCTGAAACAAAACAAAACAAAACAAAACCCACCAGATCCCAAGTTGTCTTGAAGTGGGTATGCCAAGAAGAAGATAAAGGACACTAGAGGAAGAAGAGGAAGAGAAGAATGCAGAGCAGTATTGATTGTAGGTAGATCCGAAGCAAAGAAACAGCAATGATACAGATGGCAGAAGCAGCCAGTAATGAGAAGGGTTATTCTGTATGCAAAAATCTTGGGAATGACAACCTGAAATTTGGCACTGAAGTTGCGGAAAATGTGTGAAGGAAGGCATTGTCTAAAACAATGCTGTTCAGCCTCTGAATGTTTTATTACAGGGAAAACACCTCATACCAGTGCAGGGTTACTCTGGGAACTTGTGGTGATCTTGCATTATTGTGCTAACACTAATACTAATACTATTGTCCACTTGACCCAGTCCACACCAGTCATGACTTTCCAGATCTTTCCCAGGAAAAGAACTTGGTTAATATAAGAGCATGGGTATATTTGACATGCAATACTTATAAAATGAGGTCTCTCTACTAACTTTGCGTAGGTAGAATGTCTTAATACAGGACTCTAAGATGTTCTGTGACTGAATTTCTTCCCAAAGGAAAACCATTAAATAAAATGAGAGGTACTATACTCAATATATTTTTACTTCCTAGTCATACTGGTGTAAACTAGCCTCTTACACTGCAGCTAGTCAGATTCCAATGCCTGATTTAACTTGCTATGCTTTGCTTGGGTTCTTCTAAATGACACTGCAACCTTCGAAATGAACAGATAATAGAAATAAAACCAGAAATAGATCCTAACTATATTACACATTACCTGTTTTACAGTAAAGTATAGAGGCTGCAATGGAGATCAAAGCATTATGTACTTGGTCCTTTACCATGTGCACACTAAAAGACAGCAGAACTATTCATGTTAATGAAACAGGGTTTCCAATCTCAGGTATTAATGTGATTTGATTTTTCAATCAATGAGTTTTATTTAAGCATTTGGAAGTAAAGGAATGGATCAATGGCACCATGTTTGACTAAATCTAGTAAAGGCCATAAAAGGAGTTGTATCCCTATTTTAGTCGTTAACTATAGCTTTACTTTAGATAGACTATATTGTATCATACTATAAAATACCTACTGCAACTGTTTGAAATGTAGTTCATCTTCACGTAATTCGGAGAACACCTATAATGTTAATGAACAACTCTGAGTAGAAACTGATCAGTTGTCTCACTTTTCCATAGAAACTTTCACATAAAAAACGTGGGTTTGAATTCGCACAGATCAAAAATTAGGCACAACCAGAATGGTACCTCAGCTGAATGCAAAGCCTAATGTCCCAGCACCAATTCTGGAGCTTAAACTCGGCCTCAGAAGTGGGCAAATGACCAGCCAGTGAAAAGCCCAGCAGATAGATCCATGTTAACTTGCATTTTAGTGCTGGCACAGAGGAAGTGTCATAGTTTCTATCAATTACAAATGTTTTTCTCCTTCCCTCGAAATGAAGCTACTCCAATATAGCACTAGGTGGACTTGACACCTTTTGCATGTCTCTATGAGTCCATCATTCTAGCTCTTAGACATATAAACGGAAGCACTGATTTCAATCATTACTGCACCCAAAAGTTAACCAAATTTGCTATGACATTTTATTTGCATTCTACAGAGAGGATGTATGAAAATGGTATATGATGGTCTCATTCGTTTCATCCTGATGGGTCCCTCTGCTTGCCCTCAGGTTTCCCGGGCTCCGAGAACCCCCTTGCCTGCCCCAATCTACTGCTGAGCCACAGGACTTACCCTTGCCGCCACTGTGCTCCCCACTGACTAAGTGAACTTTGACAATAACTGTCAGAGGTGATAACATTTCCCTTAAATTTTTACTGCATCTATTTCTGTATATGCAAGTATCTTGTAGTCATCTTCTTTTCCTCATTTAAATAATACTAAGCTAAATTCTACAGAGTTATATGTCAATGAAGTTGCCAGAGGTAAAAGTCATGACTGAAATCAATCAATTCTTTTCCTCAACACTTCCAATTTTATTTAGTTATGTCACTTTTATTTAAATATTAATAACCAGTTGTACTTTTAAAATGTTCAGGAAAGACAGCATCTTTTCTTGCTTCTGTTTACCGCTTAGGGAAAAAAAAATGTGCCTTTTGTTTCTCTTTTAATGTTGAAGTTACTTCCTCAAATATAACTGCTCCAACAGAGAGAATACATATTATTTTTCAGAAAAAATCATAGAAAATCGTGTTTGAAGGAATCTTAAATGGCCATTTAGTCTATTCACCTGCCCCAGGGCACTATCAACAGCACTTATACCATTGTCAGGTAGGTGTTTTTCTAACCTGTTCTTAAAAACCACCAGTGATGGAAATTCAACAGTCTTCTTGGGCAACCTATATGAGTACTTCACCATCCTTGCAAAAAGAAATTTTCTCCCCAATGTTTAACCTAAACTTCATTCCCAGTTTTAAAGCTAATTATGTCTTGTCCTCTTGCCAGAGAATACAGAGACCATCCCAGTACCTTCTTATTTGCAGGAACTGTTTGATCCCATGTGGGATTATGGGATCCATCCTCCTACTGAAAGATTGTCTTTCTCTACACCCCAGGCTAAAACATTATAAAAGGTTAATTCACCGAAGTAATATAGCTGTAAATAAATATATTGACATATTCACAAAACATTGTTCACTCTCTCGTTGTTCCTAAGATAAGGAACATTCCAAAGGACATTCTTGCAAATCAGTCTTTTTGTGTCTCTAGGAACAGCAATCACCAAGAACATCTATACTTTTTATTGCAGGTAGAATCAATCTAATTTGTTATGGTGAAATGATGTTTGCTCAGAAGGGAAACAGCTGAAGTAGCACTAAAACTGCCCATATGAGAAGAAGAATCCCTCAAGGAAAGGTCCATATTACTGACTCTCCAATGCTGAGGAATTTTCACCGCGTAGTCCTGTGTTGTGTCTGGCCTGTGGAAAAATGCTAACCTTAGATGACATTTGATTTCTCCATTTTCACAAAGTAGCTACATAAAGAGGTGCAAACTCATTAACAAAATTGGTGTCAGACGGAACTTCCTTGGGTTTTTTGAGATGTTAAGTTGCCATCATTTACCATAAGGAGGAAAATTTTAAAAAGTGAAGTAATTCATTCCAAGCTCCTGTTCAAAAGTCACTCAGAAGTCTCTTAAATTGTATTTATCCCATAATATATAACAATTTGGGAAGACTAAGCCTGAGCAAAAATTCTTCCTGCTTACTTCTAGACAATCAAAAAGACATCAAAAAGACCTGTAGAAAGAAGACTCCTCCTAGAGTGCAAATACCTGAGGGAAAGTCAGAGCATCCTCTATTTACCTGTGCACCTGCAAAGGAAAATGAAAATGTCTGAAGCCCCACCTTTCAAGAACCTTGTGAAACAATCTGGGAACTGAGCCAAAACCTACTCTTTCACTATATAAGACTCGGGAGCAGACAGGTATTTCCTCAGAGGCAGGTTGTTCGGTAGTTTCTACCGGGCTTCCAGAAGATGGGCACAAGTTGTGGGACACGAATACCACTATGGATATCAATACTCGCACTTGCCTTCATACAGATCAAAGGTAGGAAGATTCACTTGCTTGGCATTTTTACTGTTTTAAAGAATTTATAACTTGCTTCAAAGTTTGAAACATTTTTTTCTTGGCTTTGTTAAGCTAATGAACCTATTACCTTTATGCAAGATTTTCTTTTCTGTTACAAATACTTTCCTTCCTAAGAAGAGGAAATTAACTGTCTTGAAAATTTATGTTGTAGTCCATGCTCTTATTCTATTTTCTCCAGCTAAAATCTGGAATAGCTCCACTGAATTCAGTGGAACTCCCTCGGAACTCTCATCTCTACCAAAATGCCTCAAGATTTGCATTTAGCTTTTCATGTCCACTTCAAGATGGTACAGCATTTCTAAATGCACAAACCAAAACGTGCAAAAGTGGCTTTAGGAAGGATTCAGTGGAGTCTGTCTGCATGCATTATTAAAGATTTTGTTTGTTTTATCAGCTAATGACACAGTATTGAAAAAAAGGAAGAATTTTGCTTGAAAAACTTGGGACAACAGATTTTAAAAGTTCACCTATTCTTGCACATGAGGTTGCATAAAAGCTTAGAGCACAGGGTTGGTTTTTGATGGGGTGAAAACAAATGGAGTTGCCTTAAATATTCTACAAGGGCACTTAATACTCACAGATGAGTGGAAATCTTTTTTTATGTATACTTCAGCTGTTAATTTCCCTTAAAGTTTAAGGTAACACTGTTAGTTTTCAGTGTATTTTGATCTCAGATGCAGATCCTACTGTATTATTTTACTTTTTCCTACTTCCAGGTAATTCCACACTAACTTATGTCAAAAAGTGGTAGTGTCAAAGAATAGCCCATCAAAAGACTAAGTGTAGCATTAACACACTGTGCAATGGAAACAGGAATCTGCGATGCATATGGCGTGAGGTAGAGTGTTGGAGCCATATAGTGCATAGAGAGATAAGCAAAAAGCTCTCTGAGGCTAGGCAGTGGAGAAGAGGAGCCCAGAATGGTTCAAAGCTTAAAGACAGGCACGATGTGTCCTTCCAACACTGGCTGCAGACTCCCAGCTGGTGTAAAAAGGAAGGGACTCACAGAGCTCTCTGCAGCTCTGATTTCGGCATTAGCCCCTCTAGCGGTGCTACCCACAGACTGCCCTTGTTGTGGCATGCAGCAGGGGGTGAGCCTGCCTTTTCGGTTTTCTCCAGCCAGCATAGCATCCCCTGCAACCTGCCCTCTGGCGAACTCTCACTAAGCAGTGCATTAAAAGCCCCTCTGACCCCTGCAGATTTTGTGTGTATTCCTATTCTGATGCTGCAGTGGAATGGAAAGAAAAATGGTTTCTTTGCTGGAAACAAAAAGTTTTGCTTTGGGGCAAAATCAACAGTTCACAAATGTATCTATTGGAAAGACCTATTTCTTTCTGTGTGGCTTGTGCATTTATTTTCCTTCTGCTGCTTATTACAAAAAGTGCTTGAAACTGTAAAATACAGAGTAACTTTGGCTTTCAGTAAGAGAGGACAGGGATGGTTTTGATGGCTTCCCTGCAGTAATTTATTAGGAAAAAAAAAAAAAAAAAAAAAAAGCTGAAGAAGTGGTATATGGCCATCATGGTTACATGTAGCACAAGTCCTGATGCAAATCTGACTCCTGTACATGAACATAGCTTTGCTGATTTTTGATATACTGACTGTTGCATGTTTAAACAGATATAATTGAGAAACGATGAAGGAATTCAAGAAAATTAGACATTAACATTTTCCTCCTCCACTCTTTTTGATGCAGTTCAAGCCCAGGAGGATGAACAACAAACAAACTATGTTTCCCCATCCATCCTGCAGCGACAAAAACGTAAGTATTTTTATGCTGATCAATTTCTAAAATTTTGTCCCAAATTATACAGATGAATAATAAGATTACTAGAATCTTCTTATTCCTAGCTAGAACATACTTTCTTTTCCTCTGCTCCCCCCCCCCCAAAAAAAAAAAAGGAGAGAGAAATCTTCTGTATAATATATCCAATTTCCAGTCAATCTCTGACTGCTCTAAACTGGAGAACTTCCTCTGAGATCTGGCCCAGTGGATCTGGTCCACTGATATGATACAGTAATCTAATCTTTAACTTCATGAAAGGTACATACCTTCTATCTAAAAGTATATTTTCAGAAGAGGTGTGTGTATACATACATATCACCAAAGTACTTGATAGTAGGTAATAAAAGATACATTTTTTTATTCTGTGTCAAGATGACTGCATCACTCATGAGTGAATAAGAAAACTGTAACTGCCTTAAACATTAGAGTAATTAAGCACTACAAGATCATGCATGACACTTAACTGTACAGAGCAAACAGCATAACTATACAGAGGAAAGTAAGGGTGGAAGGATACAATGCAGACTGGTATATTAGTGAAGACAGGCTGAAACAACTAATCATTAAGCCTGCCCTGCAATCTGCAATTTATGAGGTCACTAGCTGGCAATTAAAATAGTGATAAACCGAAACTGGAAGTGTACCACAAATTATTTAATAATAGTGAGTGCATTTAATTATTGGAACAGATTGTCAAGGAAGGTAATATGTGTGCTTTCCCTCAAAATCCTTACATCAAGACTAAATGAGATTGTCTTTCAAAAACACATATTTGTCTTAGTGATATTTTTTGGTCTAAATGCAAAAGCTGATGGCTGATATTACACAATCTACAGTTTGGAAGTCATCAAATTCTACAATTTTGATACTTTCAAGGGAGAAACTGCATCGGTTCCTCAAACTCCCATCTTAAGAAAATGACATTGCAGGTTCTCTAAGTATTCTATCCCTTTCGTTGCTGGATCCAAAGAGAAAACATTGGATTTGGACATGGAAAATTTAGGGCTGGATCCTAACAATAGAAATGTTTGCATGCAAAGCACATGACTAAAGTTTCACAATTTAAACTGCTTTTTAAAAAATCTGCTTAGAGTTGGTTGTGCAAAAGTGCATGTCTCAGCACAAAGATAGATACGAGCTTCAGAAAAAAAACAACTCCTGTTTCTCATTCTCAGCTTCTGACATTCTTCAGTAATTTCTGCTTCTAAGTGCACTGAGAGGCAAAGGTTCAGACATAGACAGTAGCACTGCTTTTTCTGCATCGCTATTACAACACTGTGCTCTAAGGATCAGATTGCTGCTTTTGAGTTTAGAACATCAGAGCCAGATGGGAGTCTTGAACAAATAATGGTGGAAAGTACTACAGCCAAAAAATATGGTCTTTAGGATTTGGCTGTTCATGAAATATATAGAAAGACAGAACACAAAGCACTGTGTAAAAGCCACCAATTAAACCTTGTGAAAACTTCCCCCTAGAGTGTGACTATAAGTAGGAAATGTTAATCACTAAAGAGACTAGGCAATCTCTATCCATTTTTTAGGACTTCTAACAAGATTAAATTTGATTGTTTTTTTTCTGCTTAGATTTTCCACCAGCTTTGAAATCCCAAGAAGTAACAATAATTCCACCTTTTCAAAACACACTGAAAGTAAAGGGTAAGTTAAACAAATGTCATGGCTCAGATATCTGTGTTCTTGATCACACAGGTGGAGTATAGAGTGACTGAAGAGATCAATAAATTATGTAAGATTCTTTAACATCATAAAATAAAAAATGAATAAGAAAAGTAGTCAGTTCATCAGGTAACAAGGATAATCTAAATGTGACCCCAGTACTCAGCCTGCATTTTGTTAACATGATGCAGCTGAAAAAAACAACAAAAAAAATTTTAAAAAAATCATGTACAATATTTCCAGTAAAGAGAGGGAAATATTAATGTGTTCAAAGCATTGGTGAGATACCTTATCCAGGGCATAGGGTACAATTCTGACTACCCATGTTCAAGCAGGGAGAGTGTAAATCTGGAAGAGATGCAGAGAGGGACTGTGAGGATAATCAGGGAGTAAGGAGAGCCTGCTTGTAAGGAAATGAAGACTGAAGAGAGATAAGTGATTTCTATAATGGGTGAGGGGAGGAGCAGGGAGGTGGAACCCCTTCAAGGAGAAGTACAATACTGGCATAAGAAGAACCAGGCATACAATGAGACAGGAATACATTTTCGAAGATGCTGGCAAAGGTCTTCCAGCCATTCAAAGGGTGCAGCTATGAGTGGTCCTCCCTAGCAGAAGTACCAGCTAAACTAACTTTAAACTGGTTTTATGGTGAAACTTTAGAACTTCATACATTTAGGAAAAGATTTATAGAATATGGCTGTCAGCAGAACCAGAGCATTGGACATAGTGACCCGGGAGGTCTCTTCCTTTTTTTCTTCCGATTTTAGGCCCTATATCCCTATGCAAAACAGATTAAACACAAAAGATAATGGAACTAAGTAAATAACAGATCAATTAACAAATAGCTTGACAAGAAGGAAAACAGAAGATGGGCTTTTTGGACAGAGGTTAGTGAAAGAAATAAAAAAGGAAAAGCAACTAAAAGGAGGATATCTACAGCAAATTACAGAAAATTCTTACTCATTATTTTGAATCCACAGCTGGCAACCCCTCTCACAATGGCCGCGTGTGCAGCACATGGGGTAACTTCCACTTCAAGACCTTTGACGGGGACATCTTTTACTTCCCTGGGGTTTGCAATTACATCTTTGCATCCAACTGCAAATCTCCCTATGAGGACTTCAACATCCAGATAAGGCGTACAATGGTGGAAAACGCTACCATGATCACTCACGTTGTCATGAAGCTGGAAGGAGTAGTGATTGAACTGACTCGTGGCTCTGTCCTGCTTGATGGCAAATCGTACGTTCATAATTTGAAACTGCTATCACTGCTCTTGCTCCCAGTGGGCTCTTTGAGCAAGCATCCCTTTCCCTCATCTGATCTCACATTGCTCCCCAGTAGCTGGAGGATTCAGGTCCTTCCTGAAGTATCAACAAAAACAAGAAGGCCTGACAGTGAGCTAAGTGCCACTTCTGCAGATTATCCCTGAGTCCATTTTGTTCAGATGAGCTGTATCCCAGATGCTGCCCCACTGCTACAATTGTGTATGTATACATACAACTGAGTCTATAAGCTGGATTCAGTCAGTGTGTTACGTTTTTACACCCTTTAAGTTTCTACTTTCCACTAATTTTATCAGAACAGAATCCTTGAGAGGAATTTTTGACAGCTTTTGTCCTTGCACTGAACAGTATGCAGTTAAGCAGTGACTGCATCTTGTACCTGCGCTCATTTAAAATGCCTGGAAACTTGCCATCTATGTAGCAATAGTAGCACTGACTTTGGCATAGGGTGTGAAACCTGTCCAAAGGGCTGGGTTAAAATTTGGGCAGCTATCCCACAGTGAGTTATGTATTATAGAAGCTATGTACAGAGAGCTAGTCTAGTGGTTACCTTGGGTACATCTTTGTGAATGGCACTCATGTCACAGAAAGCCTAAAGAGTCTATCCCTTTATTATCAAGGACTTTAAGAAGTAAATAGCAATATCCTGAAGCATACTGCCTGCAAAACAGAACCTCCCAGCACTTTTTTGAACAATACAACCAAAGACACATGCCAACATTTTATCTAGCAAAACACCATTAACAGAGATAGCCAAAAGGAATAGCAGGGAAAGCAAAGCTTATCCATTTGCACAATGAGAAACAATTGCATAGGAAACAGCCTAAATGTTACAAACTTCTGTTGCCTGTATTTAGTTACTGCTCTGACTAATTTCCTCACCTATGCACGCTGAAGCTTCTCAAAGAGAATGAGAAAGGATATCATTGTGGATATTCTGTCCCTACCCCTGATGAATTATGGTAATCTTTCCCCAGGGTTCAGATGCCCTACAGCCATATGGGAATCTTGATAGAGAGAAGTAACAGTTATTTGAAAGTTTCTGCCAAGTTAGGACTGACCTTCCTTTGGAATGAAGAGGATGCCCTCCTGGTAAGAAAACATCCAAAACATGGCAGAAAGCCTGTATTTTGAAAACAGTCTGTTTACATCTTTGCAGTCTTAATCAGCCAGGCAGGCACTAGTTACTTTTGGATTTGTGTCCATTTTTAGTGCATTGTTCTGTCTTCCAGTCTTCTCCCAATTTTCCTTTTTCCACCAAGCTCAGGTCACGATCAATAGACCCCCAGTTATAACATCTCCACCTCACAGTGAAGTATTCCTCAGATTCCAGACCTCACAATGCACTGATGTTCACAGCCCTAGGGCTAGAATAAGACCAAGTTTTTCTTGGTGGTCACTGACCTTCCCCATGGTGCCTACCTTGTTACCACACAACACAGTCTGCACAGCATACATATGTTAAATTTCGAGTACATAAGCAATATTGATGTAGGTTCTGTTCCTAACCATCAAGGCTGACATTACTATGAACCTAAGCTCTCTTTCCTCATTTCTTTTAGGTGGAACTAGATAAGAAATATGCCAATCAAACCTGTGGACTTTGTGGGGACTTCAATGGAATTCCAGTTAGCAATGAATTTATTTCAGAGAGTAAGTAATAAAAAGCTTTATTAAGTATCAGTGCTTTGTTTTTGCTTCCTTTAGCAGTATACCATAACATAGTGTGTGGGTTGTATTGATTGCAAAACTAGTGATACTTCTTTATGTATTTCTATGATATCAGTTATGTGTAGAGTCAGGGCTTTGACATGTATTAGGCTGCTTCCACCACTGTTAGATCTCTTAAGAACTGCCACATGCAACTTTCTACTTGTTTTCAATAGTTAGGATCCAGTCCTTTTATAGCTCCTTCATCTCCTTTTGCCTTTCATATTAGAGTGATGTTATTTGGTAATCACTGTTCATGTTATAGCAGGTAGTGTCACAAAAGAAAATATCTCCATGCAAAAGCAAATAAACCAGTAAATATTATTCTAATACTTGGACTGCTTTTTACAGAGACAAAACTGACTCCCATACAGTTTGGGAATAGGCAGAAGATGGATGGACCCACAGAGCAGTGTGCTGACCCTATTCCTCCTGCTGTTCTGATGAACTGCTCAGCTGAATTTGTAAGAACCTCTCTCTCAAAATTTGTTTTCTCAGTGTAAAATGTATTCTTCCTGTCTTTGGAAAAAATTTGTCAGAATTCGAAAAAATATAGCATGAATATGACTCAACCATAAGTCTGGAAAGCAAATTTTTCTAAATTTTTTATTCTTTGCTAAAGTGAATGCTAAAAAGTTGCATTCCCCTTCCAAGAGAAGACTAGATATTTTCATGAGAGAGACATTCACTGAGGATGTCTTAACAGAAAGAAACTGTATAATGCTTGGGAAGTCACCTGAGCTGAAAGTAACTCAAGATGTGGGAAGACAGAGTTCCATGTGTACTTGCCCTATTGTTGTACTTTTCCATAAACATCTGCTTATGGCTACTGTTGGACAGGTTTCTGGACCAGATAGACCTTTGGTTTGTTCTGCTACATGCCTTAAATAATTAGTTTCATATTTTCTAAACACTTGTTTTATCTTCTTTATTTTCCCTCCTAGGCTTCTATCTGTGAGACAGTATTAACTAGTAAAGCATTTACAAGCTGTAACGCACTTGTGAATGTTCAGGACTACATTGAAACTTGCATACAAGACCTATGCCACTCTGATAGTTCTATGGCTGACTTCTGCATGTGCAACACCTTTGCTGAATACTCCCGGCAGTGCGCTCATGCAGGTGGACAGCCTCTGAACTGGAGAACCTCAGAACTGTGTCGTAAGTACCTCAGGAAAGGACTTTCACCTGTGCTTACTACCCATATCTAGTAAACTTCAAATATGTGAATTTTTTTTCCTGAAGAAGACAGCTGTTTAAAGGTGCATGTAATTTTCATGAAATCAGTTTTAACCTGAGCATACTCAAGACTTTGGGAATATGGAAGTTTAGAGGATTTTGCATTACTAAGGGTTTTCAATATATATCGGAAAGTCTAAAATTTTGCAGCCTCCATTTGGATCAGGAATCCCCATTATATCTTGACAGAAAACATCCTAAATTGCAAATATTGTTTTCTCAACATTTCAAAGGAAAAGTCAGCATTATAATATTCTTTCTACTTTCAGCCAAATTATGTCCTTTCAACATGCAATACCAGGAGTGTGGCTCCCCCTGCTCTGACACATGCAGCAACCCGGAACGATCTGCACTTTGTGAAGATCATTGTACAGATGGCTGCGTCTGTCCTCCAGGCAAGCTTATTTCCTGCCCTTTTCTCATAGCCCAAACTGCTAGAACACTTACCTGTACTCATTTAACAAGTTTCCTGTTCTGTGTCATTCTCATCACGTCATTGCTGTTATTATCATCAAAGTAATAACTACATTTCTTCATTGATACACATGCACCATTTCTATTCAGATTATTAAAAATGCCCTTTTAAACAACAAACATGCCTGAGACATGTACGTAATGACTGAACTGAGAATAAGATGCTTTGCTCCTAACAATAAGGGGAAGTCTTCTATTCTCAGCATCCCTATTCAGTTCACAGAAAGTATGTAAAGTTTAATCACATTTTGTCCACAATGATAACGCCTGGTGTTAGCAAAGCTGTGTCTGGTTTCCCAGATTACCAAACCCTTCCTGTTCAGTGTTGTGTGTCTAAACAACAAGGACCTGAGAGAGCACTGGGCAGTGTGTAAAATCTGGCGCTTTAGAGAATTACACGAGAACTGAATATCAGTACAAGACAAACAATGCAAATGTGTTCTCTTTGTGCATGCCTACTTCTGGGGCTGAGAATTAGTGCTGTTGTGAGTGACGGCATGGTAGGATCTTTACCCCTTGCAGCTCTTCTGTGCATCCTCCATGGTGTCTCACAGAATTCAACAGCACTTGTTTGTATAATAGCATTGACTTCTCTTAGATAATCCTCTGCCTTTGGGTATAAAAATATTTACTGTACAAATATGTCCCTGGGCAGTCTTACAAATGGTTCATCTATTCCACCTCATTATCTAGTAAATTTAATCCTAATTCCAATCTAATGAAGTTCATAACATAAAAATATTTCCCTAGAGGTTTCTTTTGATCACCCTAAGATTTTAGAATGGAATTCTAATGGAATTTCAATGGAATATAGCCCTTCAATCCCTACATAGCTGGCATCCTATTATTTTAAAGTACTTTCTATTCATTTTCTGTGTATCACAGAAGAAACGGAACATGCTTTCAGGCATCTGCCAGATACTTGCACAAAAGCAGTTTCTGCAGTGCACAGAATGAGTAACAAACCATTTCTTTTCCTAGGAATGGTATTTGATGACATTAATGGTGCTGGCTGCATTCCCCGTAAAGAATGCCACTGTACCTATGAAGGTGAAACTTACGCTCCTGGTGCCTCCTTCTCATCTAAATGCAGATCATGGTAACATACTCCTTTTCTCATACTTCTTTTTTTAGGTGCATTACCTGAACATTTTGAAGACAGGGAAAAATTACTAATTACCCCATAAAAAGAAATGAGGAACTACTTATCAACTGAAGTTCCTTGATTACACATTTTTAGAGGATACTTACATCTTTGTTTTCTCCTCACACCTGGAAGCAAAAATTTGAGTTTATATACAGGTACACCAATTTCAAGACCAATCAATTAAAGGAGACAATCAAATTTAAATACTGTAGGTGTTTAAAAATGTGAAGTACTGTGTTACGTCCTTTGCAGCACTACAGTGTAATACTAGGATGCTCATGTAAATACAATGTAAGACGTGACATTTAGGGACGTGTTGCATTAGACAGAGTGGGAGATCACATTTGAGAGGCATGTTTGACAGATATGATATATATTTTTTCAATATCACTATAATTACTGAAGTGTTATTGCATAAGTGTATGCAAATGCACCTATCTATGAATACAAGAACCACAAACATGCATGTTATTTTCCAAGAAATACTTAATATGGTTGAAGTTTTAGCCATGCTAATGGGGATGAGGAGCAATGCTTCATATGTAGCAGAATGGATGCCAGGTTCACCAGGACTGAATTCTGTCCCAAGACTGGAAATGAACAGCAATATATAAAAATTATCACTAATATAAATGTGCATGCCCCATGCTTATTTTGAGATTTCAAAGCAATGTTGGTTTCTTCAACAATATGATCAATGCTTCAAAAGGAAAATTAAGGCATCGGCCGCCCTTTTTTTCTCCTATTTCATTTACACTTGCATTACCCAAGGTTACTGAATCCCCTCTTCATTTCAGTACCTGTGCTGGAGGTGAATGGTCTTGTGTCACCCAGTCATGCCCCGGGACTTGCAGTATTGAAGGAGGCTCCCACATTTCAACTTTTGATGAGAAATATTATTCCTTCTTCGGAGACTGTAGCTATGTCCTAACCAAGGTAAAAATGAGTAACAATCCTTGCTAAAGCAATATGCTAATGGAAAATGTTTTCATTATATATAATGTTGTTTAATTAAAACTACTGGCAATCACATAAACTTTCTGAACCTTAGAGGACCAACATGGAGCCTTAAATGGATTTCAGGGGGCTTTCTGTTCGGGTAATACTAACTAAACATATGGTAGTAGTTTTGTGTTCTTTGATCATCATTTAAGAATTGCACTGAGTTTTTAGGTTCCATGAAACAATCTCCATGTTTCCCACTAACTTTTTAATTAGATATTGCCTGTCTGATGTTTTCTAACTACTTCTTTCTGAGAAATGTGTTTATACGTCCATTGGTACCATCCTTTTTGTCACAGTTAATATAATTCAATGGCTAATTTGATTAACAGTATTCATAATGGAATTATTATTATACAGAATTCATGAGAGAGGATTTATTTCATTAGGATGATCAACCTTCCAAACATTCTTTCCCAGTAAACATAGAAGACTCTAGAATTTAAAAACTAAGCAGTCATACATGTATTCTAAAACCTGAATTAGAAATTGAAGACTTACAAAAACACCTAAGATTTACTGGAGTTTTTAGATTAGTAGAGACTGAATTCTGAGTAGATATATCTAAAATAATGACTACAGATTTGCAGAGTTCAGAACCCTAGGTATATTTGTTGTTTATTTGTATTGGATGAGTGATGTAAACAATTTTCATAAAGACTTCATATTAAATAAAATCTGTTCTCAAAAAGTTCAAACTGAATGTTACCAAGGAAGAGAACCATAAAAACTTAGAAATTAGCTAGAATGAGGTAATTTAGAAATAGATTAAACTAAATCAATGAAACTTTTTGATGAGATTCACAAGCACTGGGCTTGATCCACAATGGGAGCATAGATCAGACTTACATGTTAAACTCCCCTTTTGGCATCAACACATAAAATTAGATTCTCAGAGGCTCTGGAGGTACAGAAAACCCCTAAACTTGGACACAATTTTAACATTACATTTCCAAATGGCTGTAATTCTGTGTCTCAGCTGTCCTCAATTTAACCTGCATTATGCCAAGCAATAAGACATGTTCAGAATCACAGCCTTCTGCGTGTTTCCCTGTAACATCTTGGCCATTAGGCAAACTTTGAATATAGCCCACAGAACACAGTTCAATGAAAATCAGAACCAAGAGAAAAACTGAAATTTGCCTTTATCCAGTAGCTTAGTGAATAGTGATTATAGCTTAATTTTCTCATATGAGAGGATATTTAAATGCATATTTCCTACCTGTCAAAAGAATGTCCAAATCACCAGGCATCTATTCAGTGCAGAAGAGACTGGAAAGAATTTCTCTCCTCTCCCAGGTAAACACCATAACCAATGCGCAAGAAAAGCACACTTCCTTCTTCTTCTCTAGCATTTTAAACTAGCATTACCTAAACATTAGGAAGTTTTAATGTCCAGCTTAATATGTCTAACTTGCCCTTGAATGTCAGAAGTAATGGATAGCTTCCACTGTGCAGACTGCATGAATGCCATCTTACTTGGTGACTGTATACATATATGTAAGAACATATGAGCAGGAAGAAAAGAAATAAACAATATTTTAAATGACTCACTTTACTAAGAATGCCATTTGAGTGTGAACCTTTTTAACATAACAATATTTTGATATAACAAATCCTTTTAACATTATATTTTGTTTTCTTCTTCTAGCTCTGTGACAGCAACGAATTCACTGTTCTGGGAGATATCCACAAGTGTGGCCTGACTGACACTGAGACATGCCTCAAGGGTATAGCCGTCAGCCTAAGTGGAGGACAAACTGTAAGTAGCAGATGTAGACACCTAACATTCTGCAGGAATGTTTTCAAAGCTTAATAGACAAGTGGCTTGCAAATGACACATAACAACACAGACAGGAAATCTGCACTGATTTTTTGTTTTATCTCATTTGAACATTATTCAAAGAAAAATTAAGAATAAAGTAGGTTTGATTCTATGATTGGAAGTCAAGATACTAGTAGTTTTTTGTCATTTAGTTATCTTTGGGCTTTTGCTTGTTTGTTTTGACAGTCAATGGACCACAGTAATAAAGAGTAAAGAAATAGTATAGGAATCAGAATACCATCACAGTCTCTCCCCACATTTTTTTCCTTTATCCTGAACAATACTAGAGAGAAAATATTTGGAAAGTGTTTTACCTTTCTTAAATACTCTTGATAATCATTGCCTTTTTTTGTGGATAGAACATTGTGATCCAGCCTTCCGGCAGTGTATTTGTCAATATGATCTACACACAGCTGCCATTCTCTGCAGGTAAGTTCCTCTGGAAGACTTCTGTGATATTTCTTATTTTTTACTTCAAAATGTTATTACATTGGTTAATCTAAAGCCAAATTCTACCTTTGGTTACACTGCAGGAAATCCAAGGTACTCTAATAGAGCACAGTCTCTCATTTTTGAAGTAATAGGGTTTGCCTATTCAGCTCTTATAATTTTAGCTAAATTACGGTCTAATTTTAGCAATATCTAACTAAATGGAGATTCAATTCAAGCAAATAGTATCATTGCACACTTCTAGATCCAAACAGTACCATAAGAGAGAAAAGAAAAATTCTGATATGCAACAGGACACCAATATCTCAAGTTGTTTAGTTCCCTGTGTTCCCTCTGTCCCTTTGCTTGGTGCATGTTCATCACTGGAGAGTTTCTCTCATGCCAGTTCTTCTCAGATACTACTGCACCTGAACAGAAAGCAAACCATGAAAGGATAGAATAGGTCCAGGTTGGAGTCTACCACTAAATCATGCTATATAATTTTCATCAAGCAAAGGTGATCTATTTAAATGGCAACAGAAGTGTGTGCTCTTCCCCTTATTTTAAAACACCTGACAGAAAGTGGAGGGGTTTTATACATTTATTGTGTAGGGCAAAAATAGCTTGTTTTGGTGCTGGATTTGAAATCCTATATGGATCATTTTTCCTCCAGTTATTCAGAAATTAGGATCATATCAAACACAGCTGTACAATCCCTCTATATAATGAACAGTTATTTCAACTGCTCATCTCATATGAAATTATAACTATTATATTCTTATGTCCCTAGCAAATGTCACCATCTTCAGACCATCATCTTTCTTCATCGTTCTGCAAACAACCTTTGGTCTTCAGCTACAGGTTCAGCTCGTGCCTCTCATGCAACTTTTTATAGACTTAGACCCATCACATAAAGGGCAGACCTGTGGTAAGTGATCTTACTGTAACAACTGCCTTCATCAGTACACACTTCATTCTGTAGGAGACTTTCACAGCCCATCTGCTTCCTTTTAGGTCTCTGTGGAAACTTCAATGACATGCAGACAGACGATTTCAAAACCACCAGTGGTGTAATAGAGGGGACTTCAGCTGCCTTTGGCAATACTTGGAAAACTCGGGCTGATTGTCCTGATGCCAAAAACACCTTTGAGAACCCCTGCACTGTGAGCATACAAAATGGTAAGCTCAGCATATAGCTCTTCCATTCTCTTTTAAGATGGAAAGAAGGAATAAGCAGATCAACCACCAATCATTTAGCCAAAATAACAGTGGACCATTTGCACACACACTATTTTCCTCAGTTGACACTAGAAGTCTTCAATTAATAAATAATAACCAGGATAATATTTTGGATCTTAAAAAATATTGCTTTGGGTAAGGAAAGCAAGTGTTTTTGCCAACTTAAGGGAAACCGGAACCATATGTTATATCAGGGAAAGGACTGATTATCCTATGGGAAAAAAGCTGTGCATAGCCCCACTGAAGACTGGACTCACTGTGGTCCTTCCAGTGTTAAACTGAGAACCAGACTTACGATTCAGAAATTCATAGCTCTCAGGCTCCATTTCAGCCAATGAAATACGTAATTTTTGAGCATTCACAGCCACTCTTCCATTTTCTGATATGAACTAGTGTATTTTTAATTCACAATGTGAACCTCCTTTTTCAAAATTCAGCTAAGGATTTCTTAGTTTATTCCATGACAACTACCATGAATTAAGAGCATCCAGTTTATGAAGAGTTCATATTTCTGTATAGAGGAAGTGAAAGACTGTTTGTGTTTCAGCAAGTGCAGAGCTGAATTCTATTGTAAAGTTAAGCTTCTGCAATTTCTCTGCAGGAGGTATAGTTACATTGAGACAAGAGTTTAGACAATGAAATGCAATAGAAATTCTTATCATGTTTTCAATTCACAGACCAGTATGCTCAGCACTGGTGTGGACTGCTCTCTGACACCATGGGACCCTTTGCTGAATGTCACTCAACAGTGAATCCTGAAGTTTACCAGAAGGTACTTTCCTCTTAACTTTTTCCCATTTCAAAGAAAAAGACTCAGATTTCTGATACTGTCACCAATTGGGAGGAGATACATTCATAATAGCTGTTTTCAAGCCAAGGGCTCATTTTTATCTATACATCATAATAATTACTCCTTTGTAAAGGTGTTTTTCTTTCCATTCCCAGGAGGATAAACTTACAGGCATATTCCTGCT